ATTACATTGCCATCGTATTTTGTGAAATGGTTTTTGGTATACTAAGACAAACAACACTAGGCTCCTTCTGCCCTGAAATTGTTGTGCACCCATGTAAAATGTTTTTAAGGTCTTGTGTAAACTATTAAATTTTACCCTGGGTGGACTTATTTTGGAAGTAGATAGTGGGCCAGCCATTTACCTTCTGCTTTTCTTATTTATGAAGTGAAGAAAGTAACCACCCAGTCACCCAGGGTGTGTGGAAGGGTCAGCCTTTGCGAGAGAATCCACAACAGTGACATGGTAATTGAGCAAATATTAAGTGAATTTGGACAGGTCCTCCTTAGAAGAATCAGTTATCACCATAGAACATATTTAAATGTCCAAAATCCCCAAACTACACAAGTACTTTTTGAGTTTATTGGGTTAAAATAGTTACCATGTGCTAGGAGGATCTTAGTCAAGGTCCCTTTCCACCAGGTTCTTGAGCAAAGTCTGTAGCTAGGGCAAAGTGTGTGTGAAACAAGCTTTGAAGTCATACATATACATGGGAAGAATAACCCCAGATAGAACATATAAATGAAAATTAAACTTTTCTGGATGCCTAGGTGGCTCAGTCAGTTAAGCGTCTGCCTTCAGCTCAGTTCATGATCCCAGGGTCCTGGGATGGAGTCCCACATCAGGCTCCTTGCTCGGTGGGGAATCTGCTTCTCCCTCAGCCTACTGCTCCACCTGCTTATGCACTTGCTCTCTCTCTTTCTCTCTGATAAATATATAAAATCTTTAAAAAAAAAGAAAAGAAAATTAAACCTTTCTGTTCAAACACTAGGTCTCTTTTCCCAGATGAAACTACTATTAAGAAAACCATTATATCTTTCAAAAAATGATTAAAAGAATTCTGTTATAAAATTCCCCTCCTTTTGGGGCGCCTGGGTGGCTCAGTGGGTTAAGCCGCTGCCTTCGGCTCGGGTCATGATCTCAGGGTCCTGGGATCGAGTCCCACATCGGGCTCTCTGCTCAGCAAGAAGCCTGCTTCCTCCTCTCTCTCTCTCTCTCTGCCTGCCTCTCCGTCTACTTGTGATCTCTCTCTGTCAAATAAATAAATAAAATCTTTAAAAAAAAATTCCCCTCCTTTTGCTTTTGTAACTTAACAGAGTTTAAAGATCTTTCTCTGAAGATTACATATAGATTGCAGCATGTATTCGACAGTGTTGCTTACTAATATCCTTCTGGGGCAGTAGTTTTTGACACCAGTCACCCCATCCTATAAATATTTCTTTGCTTTCCCTTGCTGTTTCCCCAAATCTATTCCTTTCAGTCTGTTCTATATTTTCTTCTTTTGCGTCTCTTGCCTGAGGTCTGCTGGTGGCCTCCATGCCAGGGGGAGATTACGATCTCTTTCGGCTGGCTAAAGAAGGATGCCGCAGAGCTGGGCTGGCAAAGTTCAATGACAAAATTAGAATCCAAGCAGATCTTAACAGGCTGGAATCCAACTAGTTGACATTTAACAGGTATAAATATAGGGTCTTATGCATTGGTTTTAAAATACAGAAAACGTACGTTGATGTAATTTGAGAGAAGTTCTGTAAAGCATGATAAAAATGTAATTTTTAAAGTACCCTGAACTAACCTAGTCCTAGAATTTTAGGTTAGTTCTAGAAAAGACCTTCATAGGTCCTCATTTACAGAGCTCCCTCTTTAAGCTAGGAAAAGACTTGCTGATAAGTTTAACATATAAAATCTATATTTTTAAGTTACTTTAAAGATTTTTTTTTTAATTTATTTGACAGAGATCACAAGTAGGCAGAGAGGCAGGCAGAGAGATGGGGAAGTAGGCTCCCCGCTGAGCAGAGAGCCTGATGTGGGGCTCTATCCCAAAACCCTGGGATCATGACCTGAGCTGAAGGCAGAGGCTTTAACCCACTGAGCCACCCAGGCGCCCCATGTTACTTTAAATTATTTTCTTAACTGCCTAAAACTTGTAACTTCTTTACTAATTAATTATTGAACATCCATGTGCTGGGCACAGTGATAAGGCAGTGAATGAGTCTGAGGAGACATATACAGAGGGAGAAAGGACTAGCATCTTCAAAGACAAGAGGCATGAAAACCTGGGATGTTCAGTGCAACTGGAACGTTTTGGCTCTTTGATACAGGCAATTGGTGTTTTCACCAACGGCCCTGTGTAAACACAGCTGCAACCCTCCCCATTCAGACTACTGTCCCTAAACCCCTTAAATATAGAAACCACTGGACTGTTGGATGAGTAATTTCTTTTTATGTTTTCCCCAGTGTCAGATTTGAATTTGGATTCATTTAATTGCAGGTCTTGAGAACAGAAAAGGATTATTAGATAGTGTCTTGTGTACTTTTGCTTAACTCGTGTATGGACTGTTTTAAATGTGTATCTAGGTTACCTTTCAGAGTAATTATTATAGGAATCAGGAATCCTTAGCTACAGCTTCTAACTAATGAGAAAAAATCGCTTTGAGCACACCACTTCTCTGGAATTCTGTTTCTGCATATGGAGTAAAGCTTAGCGGTATTTGATATTTTATTTCTTTACTTTTTTATTTATGACTTATTTATGTATATACAGAGAGAGAGAGAGGCATGCACGCACAGTGGGGAGAGCAAGAGGGAGAATCCAAAACAGAACCCTTCCCTTGTTGAGCGTGGAGCCCACCGCAGGGCTTGATCCCACGACCTGAGATCATGACCTGAGGTGAAATCAGGAGTTGGAGGCTCAGCTGACTGATCAGCCAGGCGCCCGGGTATTTGATATTTTGGATGTAAAAGTTATTTTGGTGGGATTGTCCTGTGTTTGGCTGGACTCAGTCACTAATATTTAAGAACGTACTGTGCTCAGGAGATTGGGTATAGGTGTTTCTTGATATTTGGAGTTGAAATCAGAATGTTGCCATATTAATTCAAAATGATCCCCAAACTAAGAATAAAGTGAAAATTTAGAAAATCTGGGCCCACTTAAGTGTATGACTCTGATATGTAAAGATTTGATAGTGTTGGGTGTTGGGTGCTTGAATGTTAGGGTGCTCTCTAAATTTACTATATGCTTATATAGTATAATGTTTACAATAATTCATAATAAAAAATAAAGGAGACCGTGTAGGTCTCTTGGGAACTTACTTCACCCTGTTTACTTCCCCCTCCTCCCCCCTCCCCACCTCTGCTCCCAATGGAACTTTTCATTGCCCTCTTATCAGCAACTTCATATAGTTTAACCTAATAGTAATGGTTAGTCTCCAAAAGTCTGTGGGCTCTGAATAGTGTGACTGTATCTTATGTATCTTACTGTTTTTGGAGTCTAGTTAGTGGCTAGTAGGTAGTATGTTTTCAGTACTTATTTATGGAATGAATGTGTGAAAATTACTTGCTATGAAAAAGTCTCAACTTTCATTCACTACATTTACTGCATTAAGCTGCTACTTCAGATGTGTGAAAATAAAACGTGAATTTCAAACAACTCAGTATTGTGGTTCAGAGCACGAGCTTTATTCACAACTGTCCCCCTCATTAATCAGCATTGTGATTCTGGGAAGATGTCTTAATCTAAAAACCGTGTGTTGCATTAGTGTAAATTGTGTGTGGCATAACTTGCCTCCTGAGTTAGCAGAAAGGTCAGATGAGGTGACCTGTTGTCCTCCAGCCTGTTCTGCTCAGCAGCTGGAATACTTAGTATGTGCTAGACAGACTCTGTATCACAAGAAACAAGTAAGATATAGTCCCTGCTTTTGAGGAGTTCATGGGGAAAAAAAAAATGATAGGATAAAAAATTATACTAGCAGCATGAACAGCCTCATTTGTGCTTCTTCCAAAGGCTGGTAGTTATTTTTAACAAGTCGTCCCTAATCTTTGTTGCTAGCATAAACTTTTATACAAATTCACACAGGGTAACAGTTACTAAAGGGTTAAGTCAGGAGCAGTAGGGTTTGAGTTGAGCAGAACAATATTTAGAAACAAAGATGCTGGGTGCCTGGGTGGCTCAGTGGGTTAAAGCCTCTGCATTCGGCTCAGGTCATGGTCCCAGGGTCCTGGGATCGAGGCCCGCATCGGGCTCTCTGCTCAGTGGGGAGCCTGCTTCCTCCTCTCTCTCTCTGACTGCCTCTCTGCCTACTTGTGATCTCTCTCTCTGTCAAATAAATAAATAAAATCTTTAAAAAAAAAAAAAAGAAACAAAGATGCTTGTAGGTAGATGGGGGCAAGAGAATTTTATAGAAATAAGTATGGTTCTTCATAGGCATGATAGAAATTTCCTGAGTGTGTGTTTTCCCAGGGTTTTTCATTGAAGCTTACCTCATTAATAGGTTTTTATTTAAACCAGGCACTATCTATAAAGTGGTCTTTGGAGAAAGGTGCCTGATTTAAGTTTTACGTAAGTTCAAGCAATCTGTCTACCTCCAAAATGTACTAGATCTTTTGGCTTTTTATTAACCTTAGACTCACCAAGAAATATTTAAACTGACTGAGAAATCAGACTTTATGATTTGTGGGGTTGCTTTAAGGAAAAACTCTTGGTAGTTCTTTTTTATTGCTTGCTTTGGAGAAACCAGTTTTTGTGTTTTCTTCCTTTCTGCTCTCTTTACCTGCCTTCACCTCTCCAAGACCCTCTTCCTGCTGAGGCTGTCCTTATTTGTGAGGTATTCTTTGTGGGCTCCTCCACCCCCTCCTAGCTGATATCTTCCTGTCTCTGGCACTGATGGCATCTTTCCCTCTTCCTGGTTTTATTCTTTTTCTTGTGTGTTCTCATCAGCCTGTGGGATTGTAGGCTCCTTGAGAGTTGATTCATGGCCTGCTGTTGATGGCATTGCCCGTACTTACTAAAGGTATAGAAAAACAAGTCAGTGTTTGCCTTGAATAATCACTTGATGTTAAGTTTTTTCTAAATTCTTATTTAACTTTTCCTCTTCCTTCTGTTAAACTTCCCTAAATAATGGGCTAGATTTTATCTGTTTCAGAGAGGAAAGACTTACTTTTAAATCAAATGTTTCTTTTCTCTTTAGCTCCAAAACCTGGGAATTAATCCAGCCAACATTGGATTCAGTACACTGACCATGGAATCTGATAAGTTTGTATGTGTCCGAGAGAAGGTTGGTGAACAGGCTCAGGTAGTGATTATTGACATGAACGATCCAATGGCGCCGATCAGGCGGCCCATCTCTGCTGAAAGTGCCATCATGAATCCAGCCTCTAAGGTGATAGCTCTGAAAGGTAAGCCTGATGGGATTTTCAGAAAGGAATTTTACCTCTCTTTACCTGCTTTGTTACCTTAAATAGCAGACAACTGTCAATAAACTCACAGGAAAATGTCATCAATAATATTAAACTTAATTCCAAAAGTTTTAGCCAAAGCTGTGTTTTACATACCTTATTTAATGAGAAGTTCCTGAGCACCTGAGTTTTTTGTGACGTCATGCGTATAGGCAAATACAGGAGGGAGCAAATGCCCAGGGCCTCATCCTTATGACTGCTACATCTGGAAGGGCCAACACCACACTGCACATGTTCACCAGGAGGACTGTGTGGTGCCCTGGACCTCATGATGGGCTGCTTTACACTGGTGCTCCAGACATCCTAGAGTATGAGCCAAGGTACTACTTCTCTTGTGAAACACATCGATAACAGTATAGCTGTTGTTTAATAGAATTTTGCTTCCTTGAACTCAGGGGATATTGGGTACTTGAAATCTTGTAGTTATTTGAGAATATAGAATCTTTTCATATTGCCATGATTTGGGAAACTGAAAGGATTATGTATATACTGGACTTGTTAATATTTTATGCAAGGTGTATTATCACTTACCTTGAAAAGTGAAAGTTCTTCCTGGAGCTAAAATTAGTAAATGCCAAATATTAGCTTTGCCTGTGCTCCTGTTTTGTTACAGAAATAGGGTCTACTTTGTCCTTTCAGTAGATAAATGGACATCTGGAAGTTATGACCTTTCTATTTAAGAGAAAGTTGATTTTTTAAAAAGTTTTAAATGATCTTTTCTTCTATCAACTCTATTTCTTGTCAGAATTTTTTTGGGGGCGCCTGGGTGGCTTAGTGGATTAAGCCTCTGCCTTTGTCTTGGGTCATGATCTCCGGGTCCTGGGATTGAGCCCCACATCCGGCTCTCTGCGGCTGCCTCTCTGCCTACTTGTGATCTCTCTCTCTCTCTGTGAAATAAATAAATAAATATTTTTTAAAAATATTTTTTTGAACATGTAGTGTAAATGGTATAAACTAATTTTAGTTGAAAAAATTGCTAACCTTTATGGATTCTTCATGATTCTTTTGGCTTTTCTGTATTTTCTATTTTGCAATATTTTTGAGAGACCTTATCTATCATGTTGTTTGGTGTTTGGTATATTCTCTGTGGGTCTCAGAGATGGCCAGCATTTTAGTCTTCCTGGTCCTCTGATACAGTTCTCTTTACCGGTGTGCACCGTGCATCTCCTGGAGGTGGTTTTTGAAGTGTGGTAGGGGAATGGAGAGAACTCACGATTTAATACTGCCAGTCCCCCCCACCAAAGGCTACTGGCCACACATCTGAAGTTGAACAAGTTGGGTTTATTACTTGTTTCAGAAAGGGCGAAACCACACCATGGGGAGCTTGGACATATCACACTATTATTAGAAGGTGTTAGAAGGAAACTTTTGTAGGATTTGGGATTTCATTGGGTGTTTGGGGATGGTCTAAGGAAACACGAGTTTGCTGTAGATTGGGTACTGTTAGAAAGTGGGACTAATTTTATAATTAGGTTATCTCAGTGAATCTTAGCTATAAGGAAGGGCATAGAGTGAAGATAAAGTTGGCATTGGTTAAAGAAGTAGCAGCCATGAGAGGGGCTGTTTGGTATTTTGTGCATTGCACATTTACCTTGTTTTTGTCTGTACTTAGTAAAATTCTGAAGCGACATTTACCTTGTTTTTGTCTGTAGTTAGTAAAATTGTTTTGTCTCACTTTATCATGGTCTTAGAGGGACTTGTCTGAAGTTGGTGTTCTCTGAGATGGTTATGTCCACTAGGAGAGCAACATGGCCTGGATGTGAGGACCAGGGGCTGCTCCTTTTTTTTTTTTTTTTTTTTTCCCATTCTCGGTGTTCATATGAATTTTTTTCAGCTATAGTAATTGAGTGCTGTTTTCTTTTGCATGAGGGAGTGTGAGCTGTGGAACCAAATTGATAAAATTTTAAGTATCCTATTTTTACTGCAATCTTGTGGCCATTAGGATGATCTTGGACCCTTATAGTACAAATTGTGAGCAAGGGTAGCACTGTGTTTCAAAGACCCTAGACCAAAATGAGGAAAACTGTTTTTTTTTTTAAAGGTATTTGTACAGTGGCTGAATTACAGAGGTAATTTAATTATACTTTTATTGTTTCATATGACTTAGCTGCTGCATAGGTCCCAGTGTGAAAGCATGACAGTGAAGTCAAGGGTACTGGTCTTGAATCTCACAGACCTCATTTTGACTGGTGATGTCTTGTGATTGGAAAGGGGCTCGTGATGAGAAGGACCTCTTTTTTAAAAAGGTCTGCCTTCACAGTTTGTCCTTTTATTTGGCTGAGAGCTCCTGAGATGCTCAGCCCCTATCACTGCCCATCCTTCTGGAGATACTTAGAGCAGATTCACTCACCCCAGTCTCTCTTCAGACTGTCTCTACTGGTGCTTTTGTGGTGAACATTTTAAAACCAGAGATACAATTTTACCCTTGACTAAAGATCAGGAGGCAGTAAGGGGTGGGGGTTAGAATTCGTCAGCAGTTGCTCATCATCCTAATGGAACATTAATACTCTAAGTGAGGGACCAGTAAACTGTTCGGTTTTGTACAGTCCCAAATAAGAATGGTTTTTATATTTTTATTTGTTTATTTTTAGAAGATTTTATATATTTATTTGCTTGACAGAGAGAGACAGTGGGAGAGGGAACACAAGCAGGGGGTGTGGGAGAGGGAGAAGGAGACTCTCTGCTGAGAGCCTGATGCGGGGCTTTGTCCCAGGACCTCGGGATCATGACCCAAGCCAAAAGCAGATGCTTAATGACTGAGCCAGCCAGGCGCCCCAGGTTTTATATTTTTAAAGAGTTGTAAAAACAGATACGTGACAAAGATCCTATATATCCCTAAATAGAAAAAGTTGACTGACTACTTGCGTTACTGGTCCAAGTATATTTTTTACTTTTATCATGAATCGTAGCACTTTGAGTAGTCATACGTGTTTCTTTTGCGAACTCTACCTTTTTCCCTTAATTTTTAGCGGTAGGTTGCGTAAAGGCTTATAATAATAGTGCCAGCCTAGCACTTAGCTCTTGGCCCAGATAGGGAGGGGAGAGGTGGTGAGATGGAGCCCCCTTGTGGTAGCACATTCTTTACGCTGGCAACTGGAATCTGACAGCAGATTGATTCCCAAAGGAGATTGGTAGGGTTTTCTTGTTTTGTTTTATTCTTTGTGATGCTAAATATTTGGCACATCATGTAAAACAAGTTCTTTTTAACCAGTCTAAGGAGAACTTCACAAGTTTTCGAAGTAGAGGAAATTTCCTCTGTGATCCCAGGCTATTTGAAACTAAAAGGTACCCCCATCCTACAGTTGAACTTCTAGTCTAGTCTTTTTTCTTTCTTAACCATTTTATTCAGGTATAATTTAAATGCCATAAAATTCACTTACTCTAAGCGTAGAGTTCAGTGTTTTTAGTAAATTTATTGAGCTATGGAACCACCACCATGCTCTGGTTTTAGAACATTTCTACTACCCCCAAAAGTTCCTTTATTCCTGTTTGCAGTCATTTTCCACTTCCTCCCTCAGCCCTAGGCAGCTACTGATCTGTTTTCTGGCTTTATAGATTTGCCATTTCTGGACATTTCAAATAAATCATACAACATACAGTCTTTTATACCTGGCTTCTTTCAGTTAGCATAGTATGTTTGAGGTTCATCCACACTGTAGCTTAAATCAGTAGTTAGTTCTTTTTTATGGGTGAGTAAGATTCCAATACTCCACTATTCCATGGATATATCACATTTTGTTTCTCTGTTTACCAGTTTAATGGACATTTGGATTGGTACCAGTTTTTGGCCATTAAGGATATTGCTGCTGTCCACACTTGCCTTCAAGTCTTTGTGTAGATGTATATTTCCATTTTTCTTGGGTAAATGCCTAGGAGTGGAATTGTTGGATCATATGATAATTTTTTTTTTTAGCTTTTTTAAGATACCACCAAACTGTTTTCCAGAATGACTACCATTTTACATTCTTGCCAACAAGGTATGAGCATTCTAGTTTTTGTAACATATATGCAAACTTGATACTGATATTATCTTTTTTTATTATAGCAGTTCCATTTGTATATCTTTTTTACTTTGCTTTTTTAACCACTAATGTATCTTGTTAGAGAAATGTCTCTTTAAATCTTTTGTCCATTTCTTAGCTGGCTTATTTGTCTTATTGAATGTTGAGGGTTCTTTATATATTCTGGGTATAAACACTTACCAACTATGTGAGCTACATATTTTCTCCCAATTTGTAGCTTATTTTTTTATTTTCCTAGTGTATCTTTTAAAGAAAAAAGTTTAAATTTGATAAACTGCAGTTTACCAGTTTTTTTTCTTTAATGGATCATGATTTTGGAGTCCTACCTGTGAGTGTTTAGCCTAACCCAAGATCATGATTTTCTATTTTTTCTTCTAATGGTTTTTTAGTTTTAATTCTTGCATTTAGGTCCATAGTCTGTTTTGAGTTCATTTTTGTGTATGGTGTGTGGTAAGCTGCTGCTGCTACTGCTGCTTCTTCCTCTTCTTCCTCTTCTCCTTCCTCTTTGACTTCTTCTTCCTTGTCACCTCTGCCGCTGCCTCCTCCCTTTTCCCCTCCTCCTCCCTTCTTTTTTGGTGGAATAAGGGCATTCAGTTGTCCCACCCAGAACCATTTGTTGAAAACACTGTTCTTCCCAAATGAATTATCTAGACACCTTTGGTAGAAGTCAATTGACCATGAATAGAAAGATCTATTTCTGGGCTCTCATTTCTATTTCATTGATCCATATGCCCAGCCTTGTGCCAATTACTTGATGACCGTGGCTTTATGGTAAGTTTGAAACCAGATAGTATTGGTAATTCAACTTCGTATTTTTCAAAATAGTTTTTTTTTAAAAGATTTTATTTATTTATTTATTTTAAAAGATTTTATTTATTCATTTGACAGAGAGAGAGATCACAACTAGGCAGAGAGGCAGGCAAAGAGAGAGGGAGAAGCAGGCTTCCTGCTGAGCAGAGAGCCCAACGGCTCTATTCCAGGACCCTGAGATTGTGACCTGAGCCGAAAGCAGAGGCTTAACCCACTGAGCCACCCAGGCTTCCCTATTTATTTATTTTTAGAGAGTGCACAAGGAGAGGGGCAAGCAGTGGGGGAGGGAGAGGAAGAAGGAGAGAATCGCCAGCGGACTCTGCACTGAGCTCAGAGCCCTACACGGGGCTCAGCTGGATTTCACAACCTTGAGATCATGACCTGAGCCGAAACCCAGAGTCACAGGCTTAACCGACTGAGCTATCCAGGTGTGCCCCATGATTGTTTTTGTTTGTAGCTGGATTTGGTTTATTCATATTTTAAGGGCTTTTCTGTGCATTTTTGTGATGATTAGTCTGTGGTTTCTTTTCTTGTAATGTTTCTGACTTTGGAATTAGGTTAGTATTGGCCTTACAGGATGAGGTAGGAAGGGGTCCCTTTTCTGCTTTCTGAGTTTGTGAAAGACTTGTTTCTTCTATCATCTTTGAGTATTTGAATTCAATAGTGAAAGCCTTCTGAGGTTGGGTTTTTCTTTTAGATGGTTTTAAACTAAGAATTCTTTTACTTGCTGTAAATCTGTTCAGATTTTCTTTCTTGTGTCAGTTTTGGTAATTGATCTTTCTAGGAATATATATCTGGGTCCTCTAAGTCCTCTAATGTGTTGACATAAAATTGTTTATACCATTCACTCATAATCCTCTTAATTTCTTCAAGATCATCTATGAGGTCCTATCTTTTTTTTAATGTATTTTTTTAATTTTAGAATTATTTATTTATTTGACAGAGAAATCACAAGTAGGCAGAGAGGCAGGAAGAGAGAGATGGGGAAGCAGGCTCCCTGTTGACCAGAGAGCCCGATCAGGACCTTGAGACCGTGACCTGAGCTGAACGCAGAAGCTTAACCCACTGAGCCACCCAGGCACCCAGAGGTCCTCTCTTTATTTCTGATTTTGGTAATTTGGGTCTTATCTGTTTTCTTGATCAGTCTAAGGCTTGTCAGTTTTCTTTTTCTTTTTTTTTTTTTTTAAGATTTTATTTGTTTATTTGACAGAGAGATCACAAGTAGGCTGAGCAGCAGGCAGAGAGAGAGGGGGAAGCAGGTTCCCCACTGAGCAGAGAGCCCAATGTGGGACTCTATCCCAGGACCCTGAGATCATGACCTGAGCTGAAGGCAGAGGCTTTAACCCACTGAGCCACCCAGACACCCTTTTATTTATTTTTTTTAAGATTTTATTTATTTGTCAGAGAGAGCACAAGCAGGGGAAGCAGTAGGCAGAGGGAGAAGCAGGCTCCCCACTGAGTAAGGAGACCAGGGCAGGACTCAATCCCAGGGTGCTGGGATCATGACCTGACCTAAAGGCAGACACTTAACTGAGCCTCCCAGGCATCCCATTTTCTTGATTGTTGTGAAAAGCCAACTTTTTGTTTTATTGATTTTCTTTTATTATTTTTCTGTTTTCTTTCCTTGATTTTTGTTCCAAATTTTTATTTTTTGTTGCTTTGGGTTTAGTTTGTTCTTTTTGTAGTTTATTAAGGTGGAAACTTACTTTATTGATTTGAGATACTATTTTCTGATCTTGACGTTTAAGATTATGTATTTTTCTTTATGTACTGCCTTAGCTGCAACCCCAAAATTTATATGTTGTGCTTTTTATTTCATTCATTTCAACATATTTTCTAATTTTCTTTGTAATTTATTCTTTGACCCTTGGGTTATTTAGAAGTGTGTTGTTGATGGGGCGCCCAGGTGGCTCAGTGGGTTAAAGCCTCTGCCTTGGGCTCAGGTCATGATCTCAGGGTCTTGGGATGGAGCCCTGCATTGGGCTCTCTGCTCAGCAGGGAGCCTGCTTTCTCCTCTCTCTCTGCCTGCCTCTCTGCCTGCTTGTGATCTCTCGCTCTCTGTCAAATAAATAAATAAAATCTTAAAAAAAGAAGTTGTGGCTAAATATAATGAAATTTATTATCTTAACGATTTTTTAGTGTATAGTTCAGTGTTATTAAATACATTCATATTGTTGTACACCCATTAAGGTCAGAACTATTTTCCTTTTGCAAAACTGAAACACTGTACTCATTAAACAGTATCTGCTCATTCCTTCCTCTCCCAGTCCCTAGAACCACCATTCTGCTTTCTGTCTCTATGATTTTGGCTAGTCTACCTACATAATATATGTAGAATCATACAGTATTGGTTTTTTATGATTGGATTATTTCACTTAGCATGATGTATTTCTTTGTTGCTTGCAATCTTCTTTGATTCAAAGTTTATTTTGTCTGAAATTAACCATCCCTGCTCTCTTTTGATTACAATTTACATGGAATATCTTTTTTCATCCTTTCATTTTGACCTCTTTGTGTCTTTAGATCTAAAGTGAGTCTTCGTAGACAGCATATAGTTGGATCATGTTTTTATATCTGTTCTGCCAGTCTGTGTCTTTTGATCCATTTACAGTTAATGTATTAATGATGAGGAAGGACTTCTATCATTTCACTATTTGTTTTTCATATACTTTATGCTTTTTTGTCCTTCATTTCCTGTATTACTATCTTTGCTTATGTTTAGTTGATTTTTTTCAGTGAAAACATTTAAATTTCTTCTTTTTTTTTGTGTACATTCTATAGCTGTTTTTTGTTTGTTTGTTTGTTTGTTTGCTGTGGGGACTGTGTTTAACATCCTGAAGTTGTAACAGTTTAATTTGAAATTTTGCCAGTTTAACATCAATAACATACAAAAAGTCTGGCTTTTACATCTCCATTCCCACCTCTTTTATTGTTACTGTCACAGAATTACATCTTTATACATAATTTGTCCAAAAGCATAAATTTATTCTTTCTAATGCATTCATTTCTTGAGTTATATAGAAAACAAAAAGTGTAGTTACAAACCAGTTATAATACTAGATTTTAGACTACTCATTGATTTTTGTAATGTTTTAGTCTATTAAATCATGTTGAAAACAAAAAGTAGAGTTGTAAGCCAAAGTTACAAAAGTACAAGCTTTTATAATCACCCACGTATTTACCTTTATTGGGATCTTTATTTCTTCATATGGCTTTAAATTATTTTATAATGTCCTTTCATTTCAATCTGCAGGACTTCCTTTAGTGCTGTGGTAACAAACTCCCTTAGCTTCTGTTTATCTTAGAATGTCTTGATTTCTCCCTCATATTTGAAAGACAGATTTGCTGGATATAGGATTCTTGGTTGGCAGGGACTTTGTTTTCCTTTTAATGATATTACAGTTCTTTTAAAAATTTTATTTCCAAAGTGTTTGCTACTGGCATCTGGGAATTCAATTGATATTTTTGTATATTGACCTCATACCCTGCAGTATTGTTAATAGTTGCCTATTCTGATAATGGCTTTATAGATTTGTAAATTCCTTAGGATTTTCTTTGTAAAAGTTGTTTGTGAATAAAGGCAGTTTTATTTCCTCCTTCATCTTTATGCCTTTCATTTTTCTCATGTTATTACAGTAGCTAGGATATCCAACACAGTGCCAGGTAGAAGTGGCCAGAGAAATAATCCTTGTGTTGGTCCTGATTTGGGAGGAAGCAGTATTTCATGCTAGCTCTGAGTTTTGCATAGATACAAAGATCAGAACTTAGCTTTTTATCAGAGGTGGAAACGACAGGAGTCTCTTGCCAGAGGATGGATGCTAAAGTCTTTTTCTAGAACCTAGCTATCCCATTGGATGCTAGCCATGTGAAGCTGTTTCAATTTAAATTAATTAAACTTAAAGTAAAAGTTCAGTTTCCTTAAATGTGTCTTAGCAGACACGTTTCAAGTACCTAATAGCCATATGTAGCTAGGGTCTTCCATACTGGAAGTGCAAGTACAAAACATTTCCAACGTTGTAGAAAATTCTGTTTGACATCACTAGTCTAAAATTTAAGATAAAACGACCCTGTTTTCTGGAGAAGTTGTTTAATTTGAAGGGATGATGGTATTCTTTCCTGAAAGTTGGAGGCACCAGACAAAGAAAGAATGTCTTGTTTTTGCTAACTTACCCAGGAAAGTATTTTAAAACTAGAAGATACCAATTTAAAATTGATTCTCTTGATAGTTGCTTCAAAAAGAACTAATTTCTGATTGTTATTCATACACTTTTACATTCCTCTGAGGAAGAAGGCTTTTCTCAATATTAAGACATCAAAGTGTGGTTAATTGCACTCAGGCAGCTCTTTTCCCTTCTTAATCAGATTACTTGTAAGTAGTACAACTTAAAGTAATATTAAAAGGATTCAGAATTAAGAGTGTAAGAATTTGTCTTTCAGATTTTTAATTTATCTTTCTCTAATCTTCATCACATCAAATACTAGCTGGGAAGACACTTCAAATCTTTAATATTGAAATGAAGAGTAAAATGAAGTCTCATACAATGGCAGAAGAGGTGATATTCTGGAAATGGGTCTCTGTAAACACTGTTGCCTTGGTGACTGAGACCACAGTCTACCACTGGAGCATGGAAGGCGACTCTCAACCTGTGAAGATGTTTGATAGACATGCCAGTCTGGCAGGGTGCCAGATGATCCACTACCGGACTGATGAGTACCAGAAGTGGCTGCTCCTCATTGGCATCTCAGCTCAGGTAAGGTTTTGGCTACCTTCAAGAAGGTCTGATACAATGTAGAGGTGTAATACTGAAGTTGGTACAGGTGTGAGGCAGAAGAAATAGGCCCAGGCCTAAAAGAAATAGAGGTAACAAGAAATCCAAACTTTGGATCACATAAAAATTTTAGGTTAACTTTGGCCCATTGACTACACTGCATTCCATCAGATTACTGATATTCATCCTGAAAACTTTCTGGCACAGTTTTGAGAAGTGAATTGCTGAGGAATTTTGTAGAGCGACTTGGAACCTATAGGTTTATGGGAGGTAGTTTTAGGGCTCTATTTTAAGGGCTTTAATGGAATATTACTAATTCATACACTTTTTTTTAAAGATTTATTGAAGAGAAAGCAAGTGATCACAGGAGGGAGAGGCAGCGGGAGGAGAGGGAGAGAAAGTCTTAAGCAGACTCCTCGCTGAGCACAGAGCCTGATGTGGGGCTTGATCTCACATCCTTGAGATCATGACCTGAGCCAAAACCAAGAGTTAGACACTTAAAACTGACTGTACCACCCAGGGGTTCCTACTAATTCATAAACTTTTATGATGAAAGGGGTAACTTTCTGCTGTGCTTCCTTTTTTCGTTCTTGGTGGCTAATCTAGTCACCAGATACTTCACTACAGGATGTATGACTTTAGATCTTTATTAGCTAATGCTGGCCATTAAATCATCTTCCATAGCCTAGTGGGAAAAGTATAAATGTGGGATTCTAGCACCTAGAAAACTGTCAGACATTTGAAGAGAGTGCTGTGTGAGAATACCTTAAGTTAGAGAGGCCCCATGACAGAGGGGGCCTCTAAGCTGTGTTTTGCCACCTTTAAGAGTGCACTTGGAAAGGAAACTGTGTGAATGGCTCTTTCTGGGAGTCTGGGGTCATCACTTTGGCTAATACCTATCAGATGCTTAAGAGGCAGCTAGAGGGGCAAGGGTAAGAGATGGGTGGAGACAAGACTGAGGTGCATGCTGCTGGCAGTTGGAATTCTGCAGTAGATTTTAAAGTGAGAGTGATAGGATTTATTTTCCTTCTCCGCAGCATAATGGGGTCAAAATAATGCTATCAGTGATGTTGAAGAGGGCCCACCATGAAGACTGGAGGCTGGGAAGCTAGTTGACAGGCAGATACAGGAAGAAAGCCATATAGTGTGTTCTGAAGTAAAGACATATATGAGAAAGATGAAGAGTGAGCGAAGATGGAACAGATACCTCTCTCCACTTTGGGAGTCTCCTCTACTCTGTAACTCCCAGGAGAAGTGAGCCATGAGTGATTGATTGATTGATTGATTGATTGATTGATTGATTTTTTAGAGATTTTATTTATTCATTTGACAGAGATCACAAGTAGACAGAGAGGCAGGCAGAGAGAGAGAGAGAGGGAAGCAGGCTCCCCGCTGAGCAGAGAGCCGGACGCGGGACTCGATCCCAGGACCCTGAGATCATGACCCGAGCCGAAGGCAGCGGCCCAACCCACCGAGCCACCCAGGCGCCCCGAGCCATGAGTGATTTAGATGGAAGCACTGGCATTGGAGATGAACAGGAGAGGCAAGGCTTGAGATTTTATATCTCAACACTCAATGTGGGGCTCAGACTCACAACCCTAAGATCAAGAGTCACATGCTCGGGGTGCCTGGGTGGCTCAGTGGGTTAAAGCCTCTGCCTTCAGCTCAGGTCATGATGCCAGGGTCCTGGGATTGAGTCCCATGTCGGGCTCCCTGCTTGGCGGGAAGCCTGCTTCTCCCTCTCCCACTCCCCCTGCTTGTGTTCCCTCTCTCTTGTTGTGTCTTCCTCTGTCAAATAAATAAATAAAATCTTAAAAAAAAAAAAAAGAGTCATATGCTATACCGACTCAGCCAGCCAAGTGCCACAAGGCAAGGCTTGAGATTTTAGAGGTGAAGTGACTAGAACTTGGTGATGCATGGGATGCCTCTCGGGGAGAGGAGAGTTCGAAGATGGCCTAACATTTGTCTCAGAATTCTGAGGCATAGATGAGGTCAGAGTTGAAGTACCTCTGCTCTAACCCTTCATCTTTATATTACACTGACGAGTTTGTCTCCTCAGGTGACCTAGTAGTTGTTTGGTGTAACTTAAGGGACTTGCTTAATCACAGAGCCTTTTAGTGATAGACCCATGGCTTCCTTTCAGCCCCAGTTACTTCTTATTGTCAGGTTAAGCTGGAATGAGAATATATTTGTAGGAAACCTCATATCATATCTGGAATAATGGGCATTCCCATTGCTCCTGCACATGATAATAACATTATAATGATTCACCCACGACAGCTTGTTTGGGCCTGATTGCCCAGGCTTTCATAAAAGGAATAATTTTACACCTAGGACATTTTCTGTGATGTAGCATTTGTTATCTGGAATAATTTCCTCTTGGGGAGTTACTAACCCTAGATAGATGCTGTGTATGGAGTGTTTCTCATGTGGAAACTCGACCTTTGGTTTTCTATTGAAAGGAATTAGATGTTGCTGGCTCTTACGGTAGGCAGAGATTGCACCCAGTTCTGGTGTTGCTAATGGAAATGACGTTAGTGAAGTGTTTGTGATGTGAGGGGTGAGGAGTGTACCTTACATGGAGCCTGCAGATGCTGGGATGAATCACGAGAGAGTCACAAACAGGTAAAATCTGTATGACATATGCTGTCATGGTGAATTTTCAAGGTGGTATGGGTACGAAAAGAAAAATTGATTCACTCTACCTTTGAGAAGCCAGGAGGGGAGCTGGAAGATCCCTCTTCCCTAGCCCTTCATGCTATTCAAGAGTCAACGAGAAAGCTGTGCTTTTTGAGCCATTATGTTGCTTTCAGAAAGAAGGCCCTCGATATATAGGACCCTCAACCAAGGAACAAAATTAGTCACAGTTTAGCGTTTATCACTCTTCCCAAATACTTGCCCAAAATACTTTTTGTTTTTGAATTTCCTCTTTACTTCATGAAGCTCAGTCTTTGTACTGAATCTGGTCTGGAAATAAATTTGTTCCCCCAGAAATGATGAGGTCTGAGGGGTTGGAATGAAGCTTTAAGCTGATACTTAACAAAACTAGATCATAGTTAATTCATTCCACTTTTTAACTGCCTCTAATACTTTCTCAAAAGCCCTTTGCTCCAGTTTGACCTGAGTACTTCAAGTATATTATTCTTCTTAGCCAGAGGTCAGCATATTTTTTCTATAAAGGCTTAGATAGTAAATGTTTTTTGCTTTGTGGGCCAAAAATATTTGGTCTCTGTCACAACTACTCAGCTGTGAAGTTTTAATACAGGCAGACTTAGACAATATGTAAGTGAATAGCCATGGCTTCATGCCAGTACAACTTTATTTACCGAAACAGTTGGGACAAACCATATTGAAATAAAAAGGATTAGTAGAGACTACAAGAATATTGTATACCAGTAAATTAAATAACTTAGATGAAAGGACTAATTCCCGGAAAGACATAGATTACTGAAAATAGCTCAAGAAGAAGTAGAAATTCTGAATAGGCCTATACAATAAATTAAGACACTCAATTAGTAATGGAAAAACTACCCACAAAGAAAAACTCTGACCCAGATGGTTTCACTGGTTAATTCTACCAAATATTCAAAGAAAAATTAGTACTAATCCTTCACAAACTTTTCCAAAACATAGAAGAGAAGGGATTACCTCTCAGTTCATTCTATGAGGCCCATCAGTACCCAGATACCAAAAACAAAGACATCACAAGAAAATTGCAGGCCACTCTCTCCTCTGATTGTAGATGCAGAAATCTTCAACAATATACTAGTGAGCTGTATCCAGCAACATATAAAAAGAATTGTGTATCATGACCAAGTGGGACTTATCTGGGAATACCAGGTAGGTTTAATATCCAAAAAACAATTCAAATAATGAACAATATTAATAGAATAAAAGACAAAAACCTTTTGGTCATCTCAGCAGATGCAGAAAAAAGCATATGATAAAACCCAACACATTTCATGATAAAAATGCTCAACAAACTAGGAATAGAACGGAACTTCCTTAACATGATAAAGGGCTTCAGAGAAAAACAACTAGCATCTTACTTAATAGTGAAAGACTGAAATTTTTCCCAAGATCAGAACAAGACAGAGATACCTACTTTTGCCACTTCTGTTCAACATCAGACTAGAGATCTAGTTAGAGCAATCAGAAAAGAATACAAGGCATCCTGGTTTGAAAGGAAGAATTATAGCTATCTCTGTTTGCAGATGACATGATTTTATATATTGAAAATATTAAGGTATCTAATAAAAAATTCTAGAACTAACAAGTACTAGGTTGTAGAGTACAGGATCAGTATACAGAAATCAGTTGTGTTCCTACACACTTGCAATGAACAATTCAGAAATGAAATTTCATTCACAGTAGCATCAAAAAGAATAAAATACTTAGGGATAAATTTAATGAAAGAAGTATTTAACTTATATCCTTAAAACTATGAAACACTGTTGAAAGTAATTAAAGAAGATCTAAATAGATGGGAAAACATCTCGTGCTCATGGATCATAATAGTTAATATTTTTAAGATGTTAGTACTCCCCAGCCTGATCTGCAAATTCACTGTAATCCCTATCAGAATATCAGCTAAGTTCTTCTTAGAAATTGATAAGCTAACCCTAAAATCATGTGGAATTGCAGGAAACTCAAAATAGCCAAAATAGTCTTGATGAAAACAACAAAATAAGAGTACTCATACTTCCCAATTTCAAAGCTTGCTACAAACCTACAATGATCAAGACAGTTGGGGCACCTGGGTAGCTCAGTGGGTTGGGCCTCTGCCTTCGGTGGAGGTCGTGGTCTCAGGGTTCTGGGATTGAGCCCCACATTGGGCTCTCTGCTCAGTGGGGAGCCTGCTTCCCCCTCTCCCTCTGCCTGCCTCTCTGCCTACTTGTGATCTCTCTCTCTCTGTCAAATAAATAAATAAAATATTTTAAAAAATCAAGACATTATGGTACTAAAATAGAAATAGACACATAGATCAATAAGGTAGAATTGAGAGTCCATAGATAATACTCTTACATTTATGGTCTGTTGGGTTTTTTAATAAGGATGCCAAGACAGTTCAACAGAGGAAAGAATAGTCTGTTCAACAAATGGTTTGGGATTACTGGCTATCCATATATACAAAAGCATAAAGCTAAACCCCTACCTCTCATCATACTAAAAATTAACTCAAAATGGATCAGACTCAAATGTAAAAGCTGAAGCTGTAAACCTCTTAGAAGATAACATAGGAGCAAATCTTAGTGACCTTGAGTTAAGCAGAACCTTTGTAAATGCAGCATCAAAAGCATGAGCAACAAAAGAAAAACATATAAAAGCACAAGAAGCCTGCTTCCTCCTCTCTCTCTCTCTCTCTGCCTGCCTCTCCGTCTACTTGTGATCTCTCTCTGTCAAATAAATAAATAAAATCTTTAAAAAAAAATTCCCCTCCTTTTGCTTTTGTAACTTAACAGAGTTTAAAGATCTTTCTCTGAAGATTACATATAGATTGCAGCATGTATTCGACAGTGTTGCTTACTAATATCCTTCTGGGGCAGTAGTTTTTGACACCAGTCACCCCATCCTATAAATATTTCTTTGCTTTCCCTTGCTGTTTCCCCAAATCTATTCCTTTCAGTCTGTTCTATATTTTCTTCTTTTGCGTCTCTTGCCTGAGGTCTGCTGGTGGCCTCCATGCCAGGGGGAGATTACGATCTCTTTCGGCTGGCTAAAGAAGGATGCCGCAGAGCTGGGCTGGCAAAGTTCAATGACAAAATTAGAATCCAAGCAGATCTTAACAGGCTGGAATCCAACTAGTTGACATTTAACAGGTATAAATATAGGGTCTTATGCATTGGTTTTAAAATACAGAAAACGTACGTTGATGTAATTTGAGAGAAGTTCTGTAAAGCATGATAAAAATGTAATTTTTAAAGTACCCTGAACTAACCTAGTCCTAGAATTTTAGGTTAGTTCTAGAAAAGACCTTCATAGGTCCTCATTTACAGAGCTCCCTCTTTAAGCTAGGAAAAGACTTGCTGATAAGTTTAACATATAAAATCTATATTTTTAAGTTACTTTAAAGATTTTTTTTTTAATTTATTTGACAGAGATCACAAGTAGGCAGAGAGGCAGGCAGAGAGATGGGGAAGTAGGCTCCCCGCTGAGCAGAGAGCCTGATGTGGGGCTCTATCCCAAAACCCTGGGATCATGACCTGAGCTGAAGGCAGAGGCTTTAACCCACTGAGCCACCCAGGCGCCCCATGTTACTTTAAATTATTTTCTTAACTGCCTAAAACTTGTAACTTCTTTACTAATTAATTATTGAACATCCATGTGCTGGGCACAGTGATAAGGCAGTGAATGAGTCTGAGGAGACATATACAGAGGGAGAAAGGACTAGCATCTTCAAAGACAAGAGGCATGAAAACCTGGGATGTTCAGTGCAACTGGAACGTTTTGGCTCTTTGATACAGGCAATTGGTGTTTTCACCAACGGCCCTGTGTAAACACAGCTGCAACCCTCCCCATTCAGACTACTGTCCCTAAACCCCTTAAATATAGAAACCACTGGACTGTTGGATGAGTAATTTCTTTTTATGTTTTCCCCAGTGTCAGATTTGAATTTGGATTCATTTAATTGCAGGTCTTGAGAACAGAAAAGGATTATTAGATAGTGTCTTGTGTACTTTTGCTTAACTCGTGTATGGACTGTTTTAAATGTGTATCTAGGTTACCTTTCAGAGTAATTATTATAGGAATCAGGAATCCTTAGCTACAGCTTCTAACTAATGAGAAAAAATCGCTTTGAGCACACCACTTCTCTGGAATTCTGTTTCTGCATATGGAGTAAAGCTTAGCGGTATTTGATATTTTATTTCTTTACTTTTTTATTTATGACTTATTTATGTATATACAGAGAGAGAGAGAGGCATGCACGCACAGTGGGGAGAGCAAGAGGGAGAATCCAAAACAGAACCCTTCCCTTGTTGAGCGTGGAGCCCACCGCAGGGCTTGATCCCACGACCTGAGATCATGACCTGAGGTGAAATCAGGAGTTGGAGGCTCAGCTGACTGATCAGCCAGGCGCCCGGGTATTTGATATTTTGGATGTAAAAGTTATTTTGGTGGGATTGTCCTGTGTTTGGCTGGACTCAGTCACTAATATTTAAGAACGTACTGTGCTCAGGAGATTGGGTATAGGTGTTTCTTGATATTTGGAGTTGAAATCAGAATGTTGCCATATTAATTCAAAATGATCCCCAAACTAAGAATAAAGTGAAAATTTAGAAAATCTGGGCCCACTTAAGTGTATGACTCTGATATGTAAAGATTTGATAGTGTTGGGTGTTGGGTGCTTGAATGTTAGGGTGCTCTCTAAATTTACTATATGCTTATATAGTATAATGTTTACAATAATTCATAATAAAAAATAAAGGAGACCGTGTAGGTCTCTTGGGAACTTACTTCACCCTGTTTACTTCCCCCTCCTCCCCCCTCCCCACCTCTGCTCCCAATGGAACTTTTCATTGCCCTCTTATCAGCAACTTCATATAGTTTAACCTAATAGTAATGGTTAGTCTCCAAAAGTCTGTGGGCTCTGAATAGTGTGACTGTATCTTATGTATCTTACTGTTTTTGGAGTCTAGTTAGTGGCTAGTAGGTAGTATGTTTTCAGTACTTATTTATGGAATGAATGTGTGAAAATTACTTGCTATGAAAAAGTCTCAACTTTCATTCACTACATTTACTGCATTAAGCTGCTACTTCAGATGTGTGAAAATAAAACGTGAATTTCAAACAACTCAGTATTGTGGTTCAGAGCACGAGCTTTATTCACAACTGTCCCCCTCATTAATCAGCATTGTGATTCTGGGAAGATGTCTTAATCTAAAAACCGTGTGTTGCATTAGTGTAAATTGTGTGTGGCATAACTTGCCTCCTGAGTTAGCAGAAAGGTCAGATGAGGTGACCTGTTGTCCTCCAGCCTGTTCTGCTCAGCAGCTGGAATACTTAGTATGTGCTAGACAGACTCTGTATCACAAGAAACAAGTAAGATATAGTCCCTGCTTTTGAGGAGTTCATGGGGAAAAAAAAAATGATAGGATAAAAAATTATACTAGCAGCATGAACAGCCTCATTTGTGCTTCTTCCAAAGGCTGGTAGTTATTTTTAACAAGTCGTCCCTAATCTTTGTTGCTAGCATAAACTTTTATACAAATTCACACAGGGTAACAGTTACTAAAGGGTTAAGTCAGGAGCAGTAGGGTTTGAGTTGAGCAGAACAATATTTAGAAACAAAGATGCTGGGTGCCTGGGTGGCTCAGTGGGTTAAAGCCTCTGCATTCGGCTCAGGTCATGGTCCCAGGGTCCTGGGATCGAGGCCCGCATCGGGCTCTCTGCTCAGTGGGGAGCCTGCTTCCTCCTCTCTCTCTCTGACTGCCTCTCTGCCTACTTGTGATCTCTCTCTCTGTCAAATAAATAAATAAAATCTTTAAAAAAAAAAAAAAGAAACAAAGATGCTTGTAGGTAGATGGGGGCAAGAGAATTTTATAGAAATAAGTATGGTTCTTCATAGGCATGATAGAAATTTCCTGAGTGTGTGTTTTCCCAGGGTTTTTCATTGAAGCTTACCTCATTAATAGGTTTTTATTTAAACCAGGCACTATCTATAAAGTGGTCTTTGGAGAAAGGTGCCTGATTTAAGTTTTACGTAAGTTCAAGCAATCTGTCTACCTCCAAAATGTACTAGATCTTTTGGCTTTTTATTAACCTTAGACTCACCAAGAAATATTTAAACTGACTGAGAAATCAGACTTTATGATTTGTGGGGTTGCTTTAAGGAAAAACTCTTGGTAGTTCTTTTTTATTGCTTGCTTTGGAGAAACCAGTTTTTGTGTTTTCTTCCTTTCTGCTCTCTTTACCTGCCTTCACCTCTCCAAGACCCTCTTCCTGCTGAGGCTGTCCTTATTTGTGAGGTATTCTTTGTGGGCTCCTCCACCCCCTCCTAGCTGATATCTTCCTGTCTCTGGCACTGATGGCATCTTTCCCTCTTCCTGGTTTTATTCTTTTTCTTGTGTGTTCTCATCAGCCTGTGGGATTGTAGGCTCCTTGAGAGTTGATTCATGGCCTGCTGTTGATGGCATTGCCCGTACTTACTAAAGGTATAGAAAAACAAGTCAGTGTTTGCCTTGAATAATCACTTGATGTTAAGTTTTTTCTAAATTCTTATTTAACTTTTCCTCTTCCTTCTGTTAAACTTCCCTAAATAATGGGCTAGATTTTATCTGTTTCAGAGAGGAAAGACTTACTTTTAAATCAAATGTTTCTTTTCTCTTTAGCTCCAAAACCTGGGAATTAATCCAGCCAACATTGGATTCAGTACACTGACCATGGAATCTGATAAGTTTGTATGTGTCCGAGAGAAGGTTGGTGAACAGGCTCAGGTAGTGATTATTGACATGAACGATCCAATGGCGCCGATCAGGCGGCCCATCTCTGCTGAAAGTGCCATCATGAATCCAGCCTCTAAGGTGATAGCTCTGAAAGGTAAGCCTGATGGGATTTTCAGAAAGGAATTTTACCTCTCTTTACCTGCTTTGTTACCTTAAATAGCAGACAACTGTCAATAAACTCACAGGAAAATGTCATCAATAATATTAAACTTAATTCCAAAAGTTTTAGCCAAAGCTGTGTTTTACATACCTTATTTAATGAGAAGTTCCTGAGCACCTGAGTTTTTTGTGACGTCATGCGTATAGGCAAATACAGGAGGGAGCAAATGCCCAGGGCCTCATCCTTATGACTGCTACATCTGGAAGGGCCAACACCACACTGCACATGTTCACCAGGAGGACTGTGTGGTGCCCTGGACCTCATGATGGGCTGCTTTACACTGGTGCTCCAGACATCCTAGAGTATGAGCCAAGGTACTACTTCTCTTGTGAAACACATCGATAACAGTATAGCTGTTGTTTAATAGAATTTTGCTTCCTTGAACTCAGGGGATATTGGGTACTTGAAATCTTGTAGTTATTTGAGAATATAGAATCTTTTCATATTGCCATGATTTGGGAAACTGAAAGGATTATGTATATACTGGACTTGTTAATATTTTATGCAAGGTGTATTATCACTTACCTTGAAAAGTGAAAGTTCTTCCTGGAGCTAAAATTAGTAAATGCCAAATATTAGCTTTGCCTGTGCTCCTGTTTTGTTACAGAAATAGGGTCTACTTTGTCCTTTCAGTAGATAAATGGACATCTGGAAGTTATGACCTTTCTATTTAAGAGAAAGTTGATTTTTTAAAAAGTTTTAAATGATCTTTTCTTCTATCAACTCTATTTCTTGTCAGAATTTTTTTGGGGGCGCCTGGGTGGCTTAGTGGATTAAGCCTCTGCCTTTGTCTTGGGTCATGATCTCCGGGTCCTGGGATTGAGCCCCACATCCGGCTCTCTGCGGCTGCCTCTCTGCCTACTTGTGATCTCTCTCTCTCTCTGTGAAATAAATAAATAAATATTTTTTAAAAATATTTTTTTGAACATGTAGTGTAAATGGTATAAACTAATTTTAGTTGAAAAAATTGCTAACCTTTATGGATTCTTCATGATTCTTTTGGCTTTTCTGTATTTTCTATTTTGCAATATTTTTGAGAGACCTTATCTATCATGTTGTTTGGTGTTTGGTATATTCTCTGTGGGTCTCAGAGATGGCCAGCATTTTAGTCTTCCTGGTCCTCTGATACAGTTCTCTTTACCGGTGTGCACCGTGCATCTCCTGGAGGTGGTTTTTGAAGTGTGGTAGGGGAATGGAGAGAACTCACGATTTAATACTGCCAGTCCCCCCCACCAAAGGCTACTGGCCACACATCTGAAGTTGAACAAGTTGGGTTTATTACTTGTTTCAGAAAGGGCGAAACCACACCATGGGGAGCTTGGACATATCACACTATTATTAGAAGGTGTTAGAAGGAAACTTTTGTAGGATTTGGGATTTCATTGGGTGTTTGGGGATGGTCTAAGGAAACACGAGTTTGCTGTAGATTGGGTACTGTTAGAAAGTGGGACTAATTTTATAATTAGGTTATCTCAGTGAATCTTAGCTATAAGGAAGGGCATAGAGTGAAGATAAAGTTGGCATTGGTTAAAGAAGTAGCAGCCATGAGAGGGGCTGTTTGGTATTTTGTGCATTGCACATTTACCTTGTTTTTGTCTGTACTTAGTAAAATTCTGAAGCGACATTTACCTTGTTTTTGTCTGTAGTTAGTAAAATTGTTTTGTCTCACTTTATCATGGTCTTAGAGGGACTTGTCTGAAGTTGGTGTTCTCTGAGATGGTTATGTCCACTAGGAGAGCAACATGGCCTGGATGTGAGGACCAGGGGCTGCTCCTTTTTTTTTTTTTTTTTTTTTCCCATTCTCGGTGTTCATATGAATTTTTTTCAGCTATAGTAATTGAGTGCTGTTTTCTTTTGCATGAGGGAGTGTGAGCTGTGGAACCAAATTGATAAAATTTTAAGTATCCTATTTTTACTGCAATCTTGTGGCCATTAGGATGATCTTGGACCCTTATAGTACAAATTGTGAGCAAGGGTAGCACTGTGTTTCAAAGACCCTAGACCAAAATGAGGAAAACTGTTTTTTTTTTTAAAGGTATTTGTACAGTGGCTGAATTACAGAGGTAATTTAATTATACTTTTATTGTTTCATATGACTTAGCTGCTGCATAGGTCCCAGTGTGAAAGCATGACAGTGAAGTCAAGGGTACTGGTCTTGAATCTCACAGACCTCATTTTGACTGGTGATGTCTTGTGATTGGAAAGGGGCTCGTGATGAGAAGGACCTCTTTTTTAAAAAGGTCTGCCTTCACAGTTTGTCCTTTTATTTGGCTGAGAGCTCCTGAGATGCTCAGCCCCTATCACTGCCCATCCTTCTGGAGATACTTAGAGCAGATTCACTCACCCCAGTCTCTCTTCAGACTGTCTCTACTGGTGCTTTTGTGGTGAACATTTTAAAACCAGAGATACAATTTTACCCTTGACTAAAGATCAGGAGGCAGTAAGGGGTGGGGGTTAGAATTCGTCAGCAGTTGCTCATCATCCTAATGGAACATTAATACTCTAAGTGAGGGACCAGTAAACTGTTCGGTTTTGTACAGTCCCAAATAAGAATGGTTTTTATATTTTTATTTGTTTATTTTTAGAAGATTTTATATATTTATTTGCTTGACAGAGAGAGACAGTGGGAGAGGGAACACAAGCAGGGGGTGTGGGAGAGGGAGAAGGAGACTCTCTGCTGAGAGCCTGATGCGGGGCTTTGTCCCAGGACCTCGGGATCATGACCCAAGCCAAAAGCAGATGCTTAATGACTGAGCCAGCCAGGCGCCCCAGGTTTTATATTTTTAAAGAGTTGTAAAAACAGATACGTGACAAAGATCCTATATATCCCTAAATAGAAAAAGTTGACTGACTACTTGCGTTACTGGTCCAAGTATATTTTTTACTTTTATCATGAATCGTAGCACTTTGAGTAGTCATACGTGTTTCTTTTGCGAACTCTACCTTTTTCCCTTAATTTTTAGCGGTAGGTTGCGTAAAGGCTTATAATAATAGTGCCAGCCTAGCACTTAGCTCTTGGCCCAGATAGGGAGGGGAGAGGTGGTGAGATGGAGCCCCCTTGTGGTAGCACATTCTTTACGCTGGCAACTGGAATCTGACAGCAGATTGATTCCCAAAGGAGATTGGTAGGGTTTTCTTGTTTTGTTTTATTCTTTGTGATGCTAAATATTTGGCACATCATGTAAAACAAGTTCTTTTTAACCAGTCTAAGGAGAACTTCACAAGTTTTCGAAGTAGAGGAAATTTCCTCTGTGATCCCAGGCTATTTGAAACTAAAAGGTACCCCCATCCTACAGTTGAACTTCTAGTCTAGTCTTTTTTCTTTCTTAACCATTTTATTCAGGTATAATTTAAATGCCATAAAATTCACTTACTCTAAGCGTAGAGTTCAGTGTTTTTAGTAAATTTATTGAGCTATGGAACCACCACCATGCTCTGGTTTTAGAACATTTCTACTACCCCCAAAAGTTCCTTTATTCCTGTTTGCAGTCATTTTCCACTTCCTCCCTCAGCCCTAGGCAGCTACTGATCTGTTTTCTGGCTTTATAGATTTGCCATTTCTGGACATTTCAAATAAATCATACAACATACAGTCTTTTATACCTGGCTTCTTTCAGTTAGCATAGTATGTTTGAGGTTCATCCACACTGTAGCTTAAATCAGTAGTTAGTTCTTTTTTATGGGTGAGTAAGATTCCAATACTCCACTATTCCATGGATATATCACATTTTGTTTCTCTGTTTACCAGTTTAATGGACATTTGGATTGGTACCAGTTTTTGGCCATTAAGGATATTGCTGCTGTCCACACTTGCCTTCAAGTCTTTGTGTAGATGTATATTTCCATTTTTCTTGGGTAAATGCCTAGGAGTGGAATTGTTGGATCATATGATAATTTTTTTTTTTAGCTTTTTTAAGATACCACCAAACTGTTTTCCAGAATGACTACCATTTTACATTCTTGCCAACAAGGTATGAGCATTCTAGTTTTTGTAACATATATGCAAACTTGATACTGATATTATCTTTTTTTATTATAGCAGTTCCATTTGTATATCTTTTTTACTTTGCTTTTTTAACCACTAATGTATCTTGTTAGAGAAATGTCTCTTTAAATCTTTTGTCCATTTCTTAGCTGGCTTATTTGTCTTATTGAATGTTGAGGGTTCTTTATATATTCTGGGTATAAACACTTACCAACTATGTGAGCTACATATTTTCTCCCAATTTGTAGCTTATTTTTTTATTTTCCTAGTGTATCTTTTAAAGAAAAAAGTTTAAATTTGATAAACTGCAGTTTACCAGTTTTTTTTCTTTAATGGATCATGATTTTGGAGTCCTACCTGTGAGTGTTTAGCCTAACCCAAGATCATGATTTTCTATTTTTTCTTCTAATGGTTTTTTAGTTTTAATTCTTGCATTTAGGTCCATAGTCTGTTTTGAGTTCATTTTTGTGTATGGTGTGTGGTAAGCTGCTGCTGCTACTGCTGCTTCTTCCTCTTCTTCCTCTTCTCCTTCCTCTTTGACTTCTTCTTCCTTGTCACCTCTGCCGCTGCCTCCTCCCTTTTCCCCTCCTCCTCCCTTCTTTTTTGGTGGAATAAGGGCATTCAGTTGTCCCACCCAGAACCATTTGTTGAAAACACTGTTCTTCCCAAATGAATTATCTAGACACCTTTGGTAGAAGTCAATTGACCATGAATAGAAAGATCTATTTCTGGGCTCTCATTTCTATTTCATTGATCCATATGCCCAGCCTTGTGCCAATTACTTGATGACCGTGGCTTTATGGTAAGTTTGAAACCAGATAGTATTGGTAATTCAACTTCGTATTTTTCAAAATAGTTTTTTTTTAAAAGATTTTATTTATTTATTTATTTTAAAAGATTTTATTTATTCATTTGACAGAGAGAGAGATCACAACTAGGCAGAGAGGCAGGCAAAGAGAGAGGGAGAAGCAGGCTTCCTGCTGAGCAGAGAGCCCAACGGCTCTATTCCAGGACCCTGAGATTGTGACCTGAGCCGAAAGCAGAGGCTTAACCCACTGAGCCACCCAGGCTTCCCTATTTATTTATTTTTAGAGAGTGCACAAGGAGAGGGGCAAGCAGTGGGGGAGGGAGAGGAAGAAGGAGAGAATCGCCAGCGGACTCTGCACTGAGCTCAGAGCCCTACACGGGGCTCAGCTGGATTTCACAACCTTGAGATCATGACCTGAGCCGAAACCCAGAGTCACAGGCTTAACCGACTGAGCTATCCAGGTGTGCCCCATGATTGTTTTTGTTTGTAGCTGGATTTGGTTTATTCATATTTTAAGGGCTTTTCTGTGCATTTTTGTGATGATTAGTCTGTGGTTTCTTTTCTTGTAATGTTTCTGACTTTGGAATTAGGTTAGTATTGGCCTTACAGGATGAGGTAGGAAGGGGTCCCTTTTCTGCTTTCTGAGTTTGTGAAAGACTTGTTTCTTCTATCATCTTTGAGTATTTGAATTCAATAGTGAAAGCCTTCTGAGGTTGGGTTTTTCTTTTAGATGGTTTTAAACTAAGAATTCTTTTACTTGCTGTAAATCTGTTCAGATTTTCTTTCTTGTGTCAGTTTTGGTAATTGATCTTTCTAGGAATATATATCTGGGTCCTCTAAGTCCTCTAATGTGTTGACATAAAATTGTTTATACCATTCACTCATAATCCTCTTAATTTCTTCAAGATCATCTATGAGGTCCTATCTTTTTTTTAATGTATTTTTTTAATTTTAGAATTATTTATTTATTTGACAGAGAAATCACAAGTAGGCAGAGAGGCAGGAAGAGAGAGATGGGGAAGCAGGCTCCCTGTTGACCAGAGAGCCCGATCAGGACCTTGAGACCGTGACCTGAGCTGAACGCAGAAGCTTAACCCACTGAGCCACCCAGGCACCCAGAGGTCCTCTCTTTATTTCTGATTTTGGTAATTTGGGTCTTATCTGTTTTCTTGATCAGTCTAAGGCTTGTCAGTTTTCTTTTTCTTTTTTTTTTTTTTTAAGATTTTATTTGTTTATTTGACAGAGAGATCACAAGTAGGCTGAGCAGCAGGCAGAGAGAGAGGGGGAAGCAGGTTCCCCACTGAGCAGAGAGCCCAATGTGGGACTCTATCCCAGGACCCTGAGATCATGACCTGAGCTGAAGGCAGAGGCTTTAACCCACTGAGCCACCCAGACACCCTTTTATTTATTTTTTTTAAGATTTTATTTATTTGTCAGAGAGAGCACAAGCAGGGGAAGCAGTAGGCAGAGGGAGAAGCAGGCTCCCCACTGAGTAAGGAGACCAGGGCAGGACTCAATCCCAGGGTGCTGGGATCATGACCTGACCTAAAGGCAGACACTTAACTGAGCCTCCCAGGCATCCCATTTTCTTGATTGTTGTGAAAAGCCAACTTTTTGTTTTATTGATTTTCTTTTATTATTTTTCTGTTTTCTTTCCTTGATTTTTGTTCCAAATTTTTATTTTTTGTTGCTTTGGGTTTAGTTTGTTCTTTTTGTAGTTTATTAAGGTGGAAACTTACTTTATTGATTTGAGATACTATTTTCTGATCTTGACGTTTAAGATTATGTATTTTTCTTTATGTACTGCCTTAGCTGCAACCCCAAAATTTATATGTTGTGCTTTTTATTTCATTCATTTCAACATATTTTCTAATTTTCTTTGTAATTTATTCTTTGACCCTTGGGTTATTTAGAAGTGTGTTGTTGATGGGGCGCCCAGGTGGCTCAGTGGGTTAAAGCCTCTGCCTTGGGCTCAGGTCATGATCTCAGGGTCTTGGGATGGAGCCCTGCATTGGGCTCTCTGCTCAGCAGGGAGCCTGCTTTCTCCTCTCTCTCTGCCTGCCTCTCTGCCTGCTTGTGATCTCTCGCTCTCTGTCAAATAAATAAATAAAATCTTAAAAAAAGAAGTTGTGGCTAAATATAATGAAATTTATTATCTTAACGATTTTTTAGTGTATAGTTCAGTGTTATTAAATACATTCATATTGTTGTACACCCATTAAGGTCAGAACTATTTTCCTTTTGCAAAACTGAAACACTGTACTCATTAAACAGTATCTGCTCATTCCTTCCTCTCCCAGTCCCTAGAACCACCATTCTGCTTTCTGTCTCTATGATTTTGGCTAGTCTACCTACATAATATATGTAGAATCATACAGTATTGGTTTTTTATGATTGGATTATTTCACTTAGCATGATGTATTTCTTTGTTGCTTGCAATCTTCTTTGATTCAAAGTTTATTTTGTCTGAAATTAACCATCCCTGCTCTCTTTTGATTACAATTTACATGGAATATCTTTTTTCATCCTTTCATTTTGACCTCTTTGTGTCTTTAGATCTAAAGTGAGTCTTCGTAGACAGCATATAGTTGGATCATGTTTTTATATCTGTTCTGCCAGTCTGTGTCTTTTGATCCATTTACAGTTAATGTATTAATGATGAGGAAGGACTTCTATCATTTCACTATTTGTTTTTCATATACTTTATGCTTTTTTGTCCTTCATTTCCTGTATTACTATCTTTGCTTATGTTTAGTTGATTTTTTTCAGTGAAAACATTTAAATTTCTTCTTTTTTTTTGTGTACATTCTATAGCTGTTTTTTGTTTGTTTGTTTGTTTGTTTGCTGTGGGGACTGTGTTTAACATCCTGAAGTTGTAACAGTTTAATTTGAAATTTTGCCAGTTTAACATCAATAACATACAAAAAGTCTGGCTTTTACATCTCCATTCCCACCTCTTTTATTGTTACTGTCACAGAATTACATCTTTATACATAATTTGTCCAAAAGCATAAATTTATTCTTTCTAATGCATTCATTTCTTGAGTTATATAGAAAACAAAAAGTGTAGTTACAAACCAGTTATAATACTAGATTTTAGACTACTCATTGATTTTTGTAATGTTTTAGTCTATTAAATCATGTTGAAAACAAAAAGTAGAGTTGTAAGCCAAAGTTACAAAAGTACAAGCTTTTATAATCACCCACGTATTTACCTTTATTGGGATCTTTATTTCTTCATATGGCTTTAAATTATTTTATAATGTCCTTTCATTTCAATCTGCAGGACTTCCTTTAGTGCTGTGGTAACAAACTCCCTTAGCTTCTGTTTATCTTAGAATGTCTTGATTTCTCCCTCATATTTGAAAGACAGATTTGCTGGATATAGGATTCTTGGTTGGCAGGGACTTTGTTTTCCTTTTAATGATATTACAGTTCTTTTAAAAATTTTATTTCCAAAGTGTTTGCTACTGGCATCTGGGAATTCAATTGATATTTTTGTATATTGACCTCATACCCTGCAGTATTGTTAATAGTTGCCTATTCTGATAATGGCTTTATAGATTTGTAAATTCCTTAGGATTTTCTTTGTAAAAGTTGTTTGTGAATAAAGGCAGTTTTATTTCCTCCTTCATCTTTATGCCTTTCATTTTTCTCATGTTATTACAGTAGCTAGGATATCCAACACAGTGCCAGGTAGAAGTGGCCAGAGAAATAATCCTTGTGTTGGTCCTGATTTGGGAGGAAGCAGTATTTCATGCTAGCTCTGAGTTTTGCATAGATACAAAGATCAGAACTTAGCTTTTTATCAGAGGTGGAAACGACAGGAGTCTCTTGCCAGAGGATGGATGCTAAAGTCTTTTTCTAGAACCTAGCTATCCCATTGGATGCTAGCCATGTGAAGCTGTTTCAATTTAAATTAATTAAACTTAAAGTAAAAGTTCAGTTTCCTTAAATGTGTCTTAGCAGACACGTTTCAAGTACCTAATAGCCATATGTAGCTAGGGTCTTCCATACTGGAAGTGCAAGTACAAAACATTTCCAACGTTGTAGAAAATTCTGTTTGACATCACTAGTCTAAAATTTAAGATAAAACGACCCTGTTTTCTGGAGAAGTTGTTTAATTTGAAGGGATGATGGTATTCTTTCCTGAAAGTTGGAGGCACCAGACAAAGAAAGAATGTCTTGTTTTTGCTAACTTACCCAGGAAAGTATTTTAAAACTAGAAGATACCAATTTAAAATTGATTCTCTTGATAGTTGCTTCAAAAAGAACTAATTTCTGATTGTTATTCATACACTTTTACATTCCTCTGAGGAAGAAGGCTTTTCTCAATATTAAGACATCAAAGTGTGGTTAATTGCACTCAGGCAGCTCTTTTCCCTTCTTAATCAGATTACTTGTAAGTAGTACAACTTAAAGTAATATTAAAAGGATTCAGAATTAAGAGTGTAAGAATTTGTCTTTCAGATTTTTAATTTATCTTTCTCTAATCTTCATCACATCAAATACTAGCTGGGAAGACACTTCAAATCTTTAATATTGAAATGAAGAGTAAAATGAAGTCTCATACAATGGCAGAAGAGGTGATATTCTGGAAATGGGTCTCTGTAAACACTGTTGCCTTGGTGACTGAGACCACAGTCTACCACTGGAGCATGGAAGGCGACTCTCAACCTGTGAAGATGTTTGATAGACATGCCAGTCTGGCAGGGTGCCAGATGATCCACTACCGGACTGATGAGTACCAGAAGTGGCTGCTCCTCATTGGCATCTCAGCTCAGGTAAGGTTTTGGCTACCTTCAAGAAGGTCTGATACAATGTAGAGGTGTAATACTGAAGTTGGTACAGGTGTGAGGCAGAAGAAATAGGCCCAGGCCTAAAAGAAATAGAGGTAACAAGAAATCCAAACTTTGGATCACATAAAAATTTTAGGTTAACTTTGGCCCATTGACTACACTGCATTCCATCAGATTACTGATATTCATCCTGAAAACTTTCTGGCACAGTTTTGAGAAGTGAATTGCTGAGGAATTTTGTAGAGCGACTTGGAACCTATAGGTTTATGGGAGGTAGTTTTAGGGCTCTATTTTAAGGGCTTTAATGGAATATTACTAATTCATACACTTTTTTTTAAAGATTTATTGAAGAGAAAGCAAGTGATCACAGGAGGGAGAGGCAGCGGGAGGAGAGGGAGAGAAAGTCTTAAGCAGACTCCTCGCTGAGCACAGAGCCTGATGTGGGGCTTGATCTCACATCCTTGAGATCATGACCTGAGCCAAAACCAAGAGTTAGACACTTAAAACTGACTGTACCACCCAGGGGTTCCTACTAATTCATAAACTTTTATGATGAAAGGGGTAACTTTCTGCTGTGCTTCCTTTTTTCGTTCTTGGTGGCTAATCTAGTCACCAGATACTTCACTACAGGATGTATGACTTTAGATCTTTATTAGCTAATGCTGGCCATTAAATCATCTTCCATAGCCTAGTGGGAAAAGTATAAATGTGGGATTCTAGCACCTAGAAAACTGTCAGACATTTGAAGAGAGTGCTGTGTGAGAATACCTTAAGTTAGAGAGGCCCCATGACAGAGGGGGCCTCTAAGCTGTGTTTTGCCACCTTTAAGAGTGCACTTGGAAAGGAAACTGTGTGAATGGCTCTTTCTGGGAGTCTGGGGTCATCACTTTGGCTAATACCTATCAGATGCTTAAGAGGCAGCTAGAGGGGCAAGGGTAAGAGATGGGTGGAGACAAGACTGAGGTGCATGCTGCTGGCAGTTGGAATTCTGCAGTAGATTTTAAAGTGAGAGTGATAGGATTTATTTTCCTTCTCCGCAGCATAATGGGGTCAAAATAATGCTATCAGTGATGTTGAAGAGGGCCCACCATGAAGACTGGAGGCTGGGAAGCTAGTTGACAGGCAGATACAGGAAGAAAGCCATATAGTGTGTTCTGAAGTAAAGACATATATGAGAAAGATGAAGAGTGAGCGAAGATGGAACAGATACCTCTCTCCACTTTGGGAGTCTCCTCTACTCTGTAACTCCCAGGAGAAGTGAGCCATGAGTGATTGATTGATTGATTGATTGATTGATTGATTTTTTAGAGATTTTATTTATTCATTTGACAGAGATCACAAGTAGACAGAGAGGCAGGCAGAGAGAGAGAGAGAGGGAAGCAGGCTCCCCGCTGAGCAGAGAGCCGGACGCGGGACTCGATCCCAGGACCCTGAGATCATGACCCGAGCCGAAGGCAGCGGCCCAACCCACCGAGCCACCCAGGCGCCCCGAGCCATGAGTGATTTAGATGGAAGCACTGGCATTGGAGATGAACAGGAGAGGCAAGGCTTGAGATTTTATATCTCAACACTCAATGTGGGGCTCAGACTCACAACCCTAAGATCAAGAGTCACATGCTCGGGGTGCCTGGGTGGCTCAGTGGGTTAAAGCCTCTGCCTTCAGCTCAGGTCATGATGCCAGGGTCCTGGGATTGAGTCCCATGTCGGGCTCCCTGCTTGGCGGGAAGCCTGCTTCTCCCTCTCCCACTCCCCCTGCTTGTGTTCCCTCTCTCTTGTTGTGTCTTCCTCTGTCAAATAAATAAATAAAATCTTAAAAAAAAAAAAAAGAGTCATATGCTATACCGACTCAGCCAGCCAAGTGCCACAAGGCAAGGCTTGAGATTTTAGAGGTGAAGTGACTAGAACTTGGTGATGCATGGGATGCCTCTCGGGGAGAGGAGAGTTCGAAGATGGCCTAACATTTGTCTCAGAATTCTGAGGCATAGATGAGGTCAGAGTTGAAGTACCTCTGCTCTAACCCTTCATCTTTATATTACACTGACGAGTTTGTCTCCTCAGGTGACCTAGTAGTTGTTTGGTGTAACTTAAGGGACTTGCTTAATCACAGAGCCTTTTAGTGATAGACCCATGGCTTCCTTTCAGCCCCAGTTACTTCTTATTGTCAGGTTAAGCTGGAATGAGAATATATTTGTAGGAAACCTCATATCATATCTGGAATAATGGGCATTCCCATTGCTCCTGCACATGATAATAACATTATAATGATTCACCCACGACAGCTTGTTTGGGCCTGATTGCCCAGGCTTTCATAAAAGGAATAATTTTACACCTAGGACATTTTCTGTGATGTAGCATTTGTTATCTGGAATAATTTCCTCTTGGGGAGTTACTAACCCTAGATAGATGCTGTGTATGGAGTGTTTCTCATGTGGAAACTCGACCTTTGGTTTTCTATTGAAAGGAATTAGATGTTGCTGGCTCTTACGGTAGGCAGAGATTGCACCCAGTTCTGGTGTTGCTAATGGAAATGACGTTAGTGAAGTGTTTGTGATGTGAGGGGTGAGGAGTGTACCTTACATGGAGCCTGCAGATGCTGGGATGAATCACGAGAGAGTCACAAACAGGTAAAATCTGTATGACATATGCTGTCATGGTGAATTTTCAAGGTGGTATGGGTACGAAAAGAAAAATTGATTCACTCTACCTTTGAGAAGCCAGGAGGGGAGCTGGAAGATCCCTCTTCCCTAGCCCTTCATGCTATTCAAGAGTCAACGAGAAAGCTGTGCTTTTTGAGCCATTATGTTGCTTTCAGAAAGAAGGCCCTCGATATATAGGACCCTCAACCAAGGAACAAAATTAGTCACAGTTTAGCGTTTATCACTCTTCCCAAATACTTGCCCAAAATACTTTTTGTTTTTGAATTTCCTCTTTACTTCATGAAGCTCAGTCTTTGTACTGAATCTGGTCTGGAAATAAATTTGTTCCCCCAGAAATGATGAGGTCTGAGGGGTTGGAATGAAGCTTTAAGCTGATACTTAACAAAACTAGATCATAGTTAATTCATTCCACTTTTTAACTGCCTCTAATACTTTCTCAAAAGCCCTTTGCTCCAGTTTGACCTGAGTACTTCAAGTATATTATTCTTCTTAGCCAGAGGTCAGCATATTTTTTCTATAAAGGCTTAGATAGTAAATGTTTTTTGCTTTGTGGGCCAAAAATATTTGGTCTCTGTCACAACTACTCAGCTGTGAAGTTTTAATACAGGCAGACTTAGACAATATGTAAGTGAATAGCCATGGCTTCATGCCAGTACAACTTTATTTACCGAAACAGTTGGGACAAACCATATTGAAATAAAAAGGATTAGTAGAGACTACAAGAATATTGTATACCAGTAAATTAAATAACTTAGATGAAAGGACTAATTCCCGGAAAGACATAGATTACTGAAAATAGCTCAAGAAGAAGTAGAAATTCTGAATAGGCCTATACAATAAATTAAGACACTCAATTAGTAATGGAAAAACTACCCACAAAGAAAAACTCTGACCCAGATGGTTTCACTGGTTAATTCTACCAAATATTCAAAGAAAAATTAGTACTAATCCTTCACAAACTTTTCCAAAACATAGAAGAGAAGGGATTACCTCTCAGTTCATTCTATGAGGCCCATCAGTACCCAGATACCAAAAACAAAGACATCACAAGAAAATTGCAGGCCACTCTCTCCTCTGATTGTAGATGCAGAAATCTTCAACAATATACTAGTGAGCTGTATCCAGCAACATATAAAAAGAATTGTGTATCATGACCAAGTGGGACTTATCTGGGAATACCAGGTAGGTTTAATATCCAAAAAACAATTCAAATAATGAACAATATTAATAGAATAAAAGACAAAAACCTTTTGGTCATCTCAGCAGATGCAGAAAAAAGCATATGATAAAACCCAACACATTTCATGATAAAAATGCTCAACAAACTAGGAATAGAACGGAACTTCCTTAACATGATAAAGGGCTTCAGAGAAAAACAACTAGCATCTTACTTAATAGTGAAAGACTGAAATTTTTCCCAAGATCAGAACAAGACAGAGATACCTACTTTTGCCACTTCTGTTCAACATCAGACTAGAGATCTAGTTAGAGCAATCAGAAAAGAATACAAGGCATCCTGGTTTGAAAGGAAGAATTATAGCTATCTCTGTTTGCAGATGACATGATTTTATATATTGAAAATATTAAGGTATCTAATAAAAAATTCTAGAACTAACAAGTACTAGGTTGTAGAGTACAGGATCAGTATACAGAAATCAGTTGTGTTCCTACACACTTGCAATGAACAATTCAGAAATGAAATTTCATTCACAGTAGCATCAAAAAGAATAAAATACTTAGGGATAAATTTAATGAAAGAAGTATTTAACTTATATCCTTAAAACTATGAAACACTGTTGAAAGTAATTAAAGAAGATCTAAATAGATGGGAAAACATCTCGTGCTCATGGATCATAATAGTTAATATTTTTAAGATGTTAGTACTCCCCAGCCTGATCTGCAAATTCACTGTAATCCCTATCAGAATATCAGCTAAGTTCTTCTTAGAAATTGATAAGCTAACCCTAAAATCATGTGGAATTGCAGGAAACTCAAAATAGCCAAAATAGTCTTGATGAAAACAACAAAATAAGAGTACTCATACTTCCCAATTTCAAAGCTTGCTACAAACCTACAATGATCAAGACAGTTGGGGCACCTGGGTAGCTCAGTGGGTTGGGCCTCTGCCTTCGGTGGAGGTCGTGGTCTCAGGGTTCTGGGATTGAGCCCCACATTGGGCTCTCTGCTCAGTGGGGAGCCTGCTTCCCCCTCTCCCTCTGCCTGCCTCTCTGCCTACTTGTGATCTCTCTCTCTCTGTCAAATAAATAAATAAAATATTTTAAAAAATCAAGACATTATGGTACTAAAATAGAAATAGACACATAGATC